CAGGTCCAGGCCCGGCAGCAGGCCTGGCAGGTCAGTATCCAGCCTCTTCCTCTTCCTCTTCCTTCTCTAATGAGCCCTCCGAGATCCCCAAATTGGTGGTTTCCTCCCTTCCAACACAAGGGACCCCCACAGGGAGTAGGAGAGCTTGCCCCCTGGGGATAGCCACCCATTACCTGTCCTTGAGCATGTGTAGTGGTCTCTGCCAGCCTCAGCAGACAGGCTTCCCCAGATCCTCCACCAGGTACAGGTTCCCCTGATGGAGGAGGTGAGGACACAGACCCAGCAAGGGCAGGTGACTCACCCACGGTAACAGCACCTCCATGTCAGATTTGGAGTTAAACCTGGTGGTCATTCTACTGCTTCATATCACCACTGCCCAACATATATATATATTAAAACGGGTTCGCTGGGCACGGTGGCTCACACCTGTAATCCCAGCACTTTGGGAGGCTGAGGCAGGTGGATCACGAGGTCAGGAGTTCAAGACCAGCCTGGCCAAGATGGTGAAACCCCATCTCTACTAAAAATACAAAAACAACAGGGTGTGGTGGCAGGCATCTATAATCCCAGCTACTTGGGAGGCAGAGGCAGAGAAGTGCTTGAACCTGAGAGGTGGAGGTTGCAGTGAGCTGAGACTATGCCACTGTACTCCAGCCTGGGTGACAAAGCCAGGCTCCATCTCAAAAAAAAAAACCCAAAAAACCGTATGTGTGGTAGGGGGTTGGGTAGAGAACAAGAATAGAGGATGGGGCAGTATGTTTTTAAGTTGATACATACTATTTTACATATTTAGGAAGTACATGTGATATTTTGCTACATGCACAGAATATGCAGTGATCAGGTCAGGGTATTTGAGGTGTGCATCCTTTGGGTATTATTTGTGTGCTGGGAACAATTCAAGACCTCTCTTCTAACCACTTTGTTTTCGGTTTTGTTCTGAGGTGGGGCTCTCACTATGTTGCCCTGGCCAGTCTCGAACTCCTGACCTCAAGCAGTCCTCCTGTCTCAGCTTCGTGAATAGCTGGGATTACAGGTGCTCATCACTGCACCAGGCTCTTCTTAGCAACTTTGAAATATATAGTACATTGTCACCTTACTCTGCTGTTGAACGATAGAATTGACAACTGTTACCTACCTGTATGTTTATACATTTAACTACCTCTCTTCATCTCCCACCTCTTCTCCCAGCCTCTGTTAATCATCATTCTACTCTCTACCTTTATGAGATCAACTTTCCTCTGCATCCTCACCTGCATGTTGTTTTTTGTCTTTTTAGTAATAGCCATTTTAGTTCGGGTGGGGTGGCTCACACGTTTAATCCCAGCACTTTGGGAGGCTGAGGCAGGCGGATCATGAGGTCAGGAGTTCGAGACCAGCCTGGCCAACTTAGTGACACCCATCTCTAAAAACACAAAAATCAGCTGGGGAGGCTGAGGCAGGAGAATCGCTTGAACCTGGGAGGCAGAGGTTGCAGTGAGTTGAGACCACACCATTGTACTCCGGCCCAGGTGACAGAGTGAGACTCTGTCTCAAACAAAAATGAAAATAAAATAAATAATTTTAATAGCATTCTAGGCTGGGTGCAGTGGCTCACACCTGTAATCCTAGCTCTTTGGGAGGATCATTTGAGCCCAGCCTAGGCAACATTGGGAGGCTGTACAGTAATAATAATAATAATAATGTTAGCCAGGCATGTTGGTGCACACCTGCAGTCCCAACTGCTCGTGAGGCTGAGGCAGGAGGATCACCTGAGCCCAGAAGATTGAAGCTGTAGTGAGGCATGATTGTGTCACTGCACTCCAGCCTAGGTGACAGACCAAGACACTTTCAAAAAAAAAAGAAATAGCCATTCTAACTGGGCTAAGTTTGGATCTCATTGCATTTTGTTTTTTGTTTTTCTGAGATGGAGTCTCGCTGTTTCTCCCAGGCTAGAGTGCAGTGGTGCAATTGTGGCTCACTGCAACCTCCACCTCACGGGTTCAAGCAATTCTCCTACCCCAGCCTCCTGAGTAGCTGGGATTACAGGCACCCGCCACCATGCCCAGCTGATTTTTGTATTTGTAGTAGAGATGGGGACATGGGGACTCACCATGTTGGCCAAGCTGGTCTTGAACTTCTGACCTCAAATGATCCACCTGCCTCGGCCTCCCAAAGTACTGGTATTACAGACGTGAGCCACCTCACCCGGCCCAAAAATGTTCTATTTTAACTTTTTTTTTTTTGAGACAGTCTTACTCCGTTACCCAGGTTGGAGTGCAGTGGTGTGATCTGGGCTCACTGAAACCTCCGCCTCCTTGGTTCAGGTGATTCTCCTGCCTTAGCCTCCCAAGTAGCTGGGATTACAGGCACCTGCTGTCACACCTGGCTAATTTTTGTATTTTGAGTAGAGACGGAGACCGTGTTGGCCAGGCTGGTCTCGAACTCTTGGCCTCAAGTGATCCACCTGCCTCGGCTTCCCAAAGTGCTGGGATTACCCACACTGTATGTTCTTGACGCCTTTGTGGCAATCAGTTGACCATAAGTATATGGATTTATTTCTGAGTCTGTATTCTGTTACACCATCGGTTCTGTGTCTGTTTTTATACCAGTACCATGCTGTTTTGGTTACTATAGACTTGTATGATTTGAAGTCAGGTAGTGAGATGCCTCCAGCTTTGTTCTTTGTGTTAAGGATTATTCTGGCTGTCTGCCATTGCCCCAAATTTAGATAATGTGTATATTAGAATGACTTGTAGAACCTTCACACATCTAACACACATTCTCCATACAACAACTGTGTCCTTTAAGGCTGAATTTAACTTTTGAAAGTGGCCTGACGTCACTTGTGGCCACATTGGGTGAAGAAGATGATGATGATCAGGCTGGGTGATGCAGTGGCAGCTTGGCTGCACTGCGATGAGACAGATTTTCCTATTGGCTCAGAGTGCATTTCCAAGAGAAGCTTTCTAGTAGGGCTCTGTCGGACTCTCTCCATCCATCATGTCAGTCTCCAACTTATATCTACTTATAGCCTCTTGACAGCCCCAACCCCTCATATTCCTGAGGGGTACAGATCCCCAAAATTTATGCCTCCTTGATCTCCCTGGTCTTCTCTTCCCAAGACCAGTTAGCTGCAGCCTAAAGGCCCTTCCTGGGGCTCAGCTCTCCCCACTCCCTCTGCTCTCCCCACGTCACAGAATGGCCTGGGGGGACTGGGCAGCAGGCATGAAAGTGGTAGTGACTGTGGCCCCCCCAACCTGGTGCCATCTTGCAGAGCAGGCCCCATGGCTCCAAATTGTGTAACTTGAGCACTTGCAGAGCCCCCTGCTGGGTCCTCAGGCAAGGCGCTGCTCCACCATTGCCACTCAGTCACCACGAGGCCATGGGTCACTCCTGTCTCTGGGTCCTGGCTTCCAAACTGGCCAGATAATGATCCCAGGGCCTCACCAGCTCTGAAATTCAATGCTATCATAAGAGGAACAAAGCCCCCTGCTCTTAAAAGCCATGCCAACCAGGCACGATGGCTCATGCCTGTAATCCCAGCACTTTGGGAGGCTAGGTGGGCAGATCACCTGAGCTTGGGAGTTTGAGACCAGCCTGACCAACATGGTGAAACCCTATCTCGCCTAAAAATACAAAAATTAGCCAGGTGTGGTGGCAGGTACCTGTAATCCCAGCTACTTAGGAGGCTGAGGCAGGAGAATTGCCTGAGCTTGGGAGGCAGAGGTTGCAGTGAGCCCAGACAGTTCCACTGCACTCCAGCCTGGGCAACAAAGTGAGACTCTGTATCCCAAAAAAAAAAAAGTCACACCCCACCAGTTCCAGCCACAGACCCTTACATTGTCTGACATGGGCCTATGGATTGAGTGTTCAGTGCTGAGACCTGAGTGGCCACTTCACAGAGCTGTGTTTTTCTCAGTTTCTATGCCTAGAACTGAACTGAAAGTTTACTTAATTCAAGAACGTTTCTCTGCTGGAAAGCTCTGTTGAGGTTAGAGGATCAAAAGGCCACTTTGGGGACCCTTGCTGAAGATGTGCTCTGCTCTGGGGATTCTCAGCCTAGGTGGTCACAGAACCCAGCTTGCCATAAATACCTGCCCAGTGGTGGGGACTTCCTAATGTGCCTTCGTCCTAACCCGCCCTGTGGGGCCCATGACTTGATCCATGGACTCCATCCATATTGTGCTGGGGGAAACCCCGGCCTGGAGTCAGGGGCAGTGGAGGGCAAGGATTTGGGTTTTCTCATATTCCAGTTTGTCTCTTGTCTCCCATTGATTTCAGACTCTACACAGAGAACAGAAGGAGCTGGTTGCTGTGCTGAGGGAGCCTGAGTGAGGAGACAGCCAGGCCCAGAAGCAAAGGGCAGTCAAGGTCAAGAGCCTGTGGTCCAGCATGCCTGGCCTGGGCAGGCTGCCTCTGAGAATGGCTGAAATGGTGCCCAGTCCCTCAGCAGTGATGGCATTTGGTGGAGGACTAGGCCAGAGCAAGCCTCACTGCCACTGTGCCTTTGGGGCACCCTTGGGGTTAGAAACACACACCCCCTTCAGATTCCTGTGTCTTCTACCTGGATCATTCTTGGCCATGCTTTCTCCTCTTGGTTCAGGTCAGCTCTGCCCCTCCGCCCACTCTTGCTGGCTTCTGAGCCCTTTTCCCTGGGCCTGGCTTGGAGAATCTGTTTTCAATCTCCACTGATTGCCCCCTTGCTGGCCAGCCCAGGGCCCTTACCATGTTCTCCCCACATCCGTAAATAAACTTCCTCTACCACACTGTAATCTGTGAGGATGCCTCCTCTGCCTGGGCCTCTTGGGCCAAGATCTGCTCTTGGCTCCCAAATGCTGGCTCCAGTCAGGCTTCAGCTGTGGTCCTCTGGGAACCTCCAGGCTGGGGCAGGTTGGCAAAGAGCTTACTAGACCATCATGTGCAGAGAGCAGCAGAGCCCCTTGTACAAAAACCAGGACCCCCAGGTTCCCTTTGGCCAAGATGAGCTGCCAAAGAGCTGTCACTATTGTCATCCTCCAAGAACCACTATTGGCCGGGTGCAGTGGCTCATGCCTGAAATCCCAGCACTTTGGGAGGCCAAGGCGGGTGGATCACCTGAGGTCAGGAGTTCGAGACCAGTCTCACCAACATGGGTGAAGCTCTGTCTCTATTAAAAATACAAAAATTAGCTGGGTGTGGTGGCACGCATCTGTAATCCTAGCTACTCGGGAGGCTGAGGCAGGAGAATCGCTTGAACTCGGGAGGTGGAGGTTGCAGTGAGCTGAGATCACGCCACCGCACTCCAGCCTGGGCGGCAGAGCGAGACTCCGTCTCAGAAAGAAATCGCTGGGCGTGTTGTTTCTCTTGCTACTTCCACTTCACTCTTCACCCAGAGTAGCCAAAGGCAGGGCGCTTTCTGGATCGACCAGGGGGGAAAGGGGTTGGTTGTGGCTGGGGGCAGAATTTTCCCTACTGAGGGTCTTGGTGAGGTCTGCTGGAGGCACACTGGGGACACAGGTGGCTGCCGCTTCCCACCTCCCTCCTACAAACAGTACTCGGCTCTGTCTCCCTCTGCTCGCCTTGTCACCATGGAGCTGTGGCATTCACGCATCCAGACGCCCTGCTCCTGTCGGCTGCCCCAGCAGGTGCTCTGTTTTTTTCGTCAGGTTGGGCAGCTGGTCTCACGCCCTGGTTGGTGGGCAGGTGAGTGAGGACACAGGTTACAAAGGGGAAGGTGTCAGAGCCAGGCACGGTGGCTCACGCCTGTAATCCCAGCACTTTGGGAGGCCAAGGCGGGTGGATCACGAGGTCAAAAGATCGAGACCATCCTGGTCAACATGGTGAAACCCGTCTCTACTAAAAATACAAAAAATTAGCTGGGCATGGTGGTGCGCGCCTGTAGTCCCAGCTACTCGGGAGGCTGAGGCAGGAGAATTGCCTGACCCCAGGAGGCGGAGGTTGCGGTGAGCCGAGATTGCACCAGTGCACTCCAGCCTGGGTAACAAGAGCGAAACTCCATCTCAAAAAAAAAGAAAAAAGAAAGGGGAAGGTGCTAGGTCACTCCTCCCTCTCTGGGCTGACCTGAGGCAGTGGAGGCGTTTTCACGCTGGAATGTTCTGTCCCGTAGAGGACATGCCTTCCTGTCACTTACAGGAGTGCTGCAGGTCCCTCCTGCAGGGTAGTTAACACTGTGGAGGCTACAGGGGCAGAAGGAGAATCGGGGTGGGGGGCGGTGGTCAGGAGGTGGGAGGCACACTCTATCTCTGTGCTCCTCACCGGCCCTGCCACCCTGTCTGCTAAGGACATGGGGAAGGGGTCCCCACCTCAGTGAGTGCCCTGCCTCCCTGCCCTGTGCCTTTGTGTACCTGACAGTCACAGCCACCCAGTCTGTCCCAGAGATGAACCAGCTGACCTCATCTCCTGCCCGGCCCTACCTCCGTTGGCTTTGGCTCTTGTCTCTGTGCTGCCTGACCCTTTCTCCTGTCTGGAGCCATCGAGCTGCGCCCACAGCAGGCTGCCTTTGGCATCTCATGGGGTGAACGAGGGCACTGTGAGGCATTCCCTCCCTGGGTTTGGCTCCTGCCCACAGGACCAACAGTAGAAATCACGGGCTGTCAGACAGCTGGAGCCCAGCTCTGCTTGAACCTATTTTAGGTCTCTGAGCCCCTCTTCCTCTCTAGACTCTCCCTAGAGCTCAGCCAGTGCTCAACCTGAGGCTGGGGGTCTCCGAGGAAGAGTGAGTCAGGGTTGGGGGGTCTGGGGCTGCCCCCTGGGGAAGCGGCCAGAGGCAGTGTTGAGAGCCGGGCGGTCTCTGATTGTGGCTCACCCTCCATCACTCCTAGGGGCTCCTGGCCCAGCAGCCACAGCTCCCAACCACAACATCCGTTGGGGCTTGGCCTACGGAGCTAGGGCGGATGACCCCCAAATAGCCCTGGCAGATTCCCCCTAGACCCACCCGAACCATGGTCAGGCGTGCCCCTCCTCATCTCCAGGGCATGGCCCAGAGGGTATAAACAGTGCTGGAGGGTGCCGGGGACAGGCCAGCCGAGCCCTGAGCAGCAGCTGCCGAGCCGCCATGAGAGCCCTCACACTCCTCCCCGTGCTGGCCCTGGCCGCACTTTGCATTGCTGGCCAGGCAGGTGAGTGTCCCCACCTCCCCTCAGGCCGCACTGCAGTGGCCCACCTCTTCTCACCCCATGGGCTGGCAGTCCCTGTTGCAGGCTCAAGCCATTTGTCCTAGCTGTGCCCTTGCAGAGGGAGAGGAGGGAAGAACACGCTGCCTGAGATGCAGGGGAAGGAGGACGAGGGCCCTAGGGGCGAGCGGGGTTCAGAGGACCATGCTCCCTTCCTTTGCAGGTGCGAAGCCCAGCAGTGCAGAGTCCAGCAAAGGTGCAGGTATGAGGTTGGGCCCGGCAGGGGCTCCTGAACCCTCCCCTCTCACCCTGGTCCCTCAGTCTCATTCCCCCACTCCTGTCAGGCTGTCAGGAAGGCCACCCTGCTCCCTACCTTGTCCCCCAAACCCAGAGCCACCTGATGCTTGCCCCTTTGCCCCACAGCCTTTGTGTCCAAGCAGGAGGGCAGCGAGGTGGTGAAGAGACCCAGGCGCTACCTGTATCAATGGCTGGGGTGAGAGAAAAGGCGGTGCTGGGCCATGGGGGAGCTATAGCAGCGGGTGGCCTCTGGGCCGCGGTGGGGGTACAGGCAGCCTGCCCTGGTGGGGACCCTGGAGCCCCATGTATAGTGAGAGGAGGGATGGGCATTTTGCACGGGGGCTGATGCCACCATGTTGGGTGTCTCAGAGTCCCACCCCCTTACCCGGATCCCCTGGAGCCCAGGAGGGAGGTGTGTGAGCTCAACCCGGACTGTGATGAGCTGGCTGACCACATCGGCTTCCAGGAGGCCTATCGGCGCTTCTACGGCCCGGTCTAGGGTGTCGCCCTGCTGGCCCGGCCGGTGACCCCAGCTCTGCTCCTCTCCAGGCCCCCTTCTTCCCCTCCCCCTTGCCCTGACCCCCTGGCCCTGGGGATGTGGGGTCCCCATCATCCCAGCTGCTCCCAAATAAACTCCAGAAGAGGAATCTGAGGGCCTGTGAATCTGTCCAGTTTATGGAGTGTGGGAGGGAGGTGTCAGGAGGATGGGGCTGAGGAGGTTTTACCTTCTTCAGTTCTAGAAAGTGCTTTCCAAAGTTTTATTTTTTAATTTGTACCTGCCTTGTTCCAGAAGTCATTGACGGTGGCTTCCTAGGATGCCTAGGAAGTCTAACTAGAGATCCCCCTCTAGCCTAGCACCCTCCTCCCCACACCTCAGTCCACTGAACCATCCATGATGCACCCAGATAGGCCCACCCCCAAAAGCCTGGTCACCTTGAGTACACAGTTGTGTCCAGGACAGACTCATCTCCACAGGCAAATAGCTGCTGGCAAACTGGCATTACCTGGCTTGCAGGCATGGAGGCCAAGTGTGTTCCCTCCTGGCCTGGTTAGCAAGAAGCATTCAGGGTAGCCGGAGGTTAGTCATGTTAGTTCTTCCCTGTGCTGAGCAGAGACTTCCAGGAGCACCAGAAACAGAGCCAGACAAAAGGGCCCAAACACTCCCAACCTCTCACAGAGTAGGGAGGCATCTTCAGCCTGGACACGAACCCGCCTCCCCTCTCAGACCCTCAGCACTTCCCTCAGTCCCATCAAGAGCCCCTCATGGTCCCTCACACTGCCGGTCCCCACAGATATTCCTCCTCTCCTCTGCCCTCTGTCCTCTGCCCTCTGTCCTCAGCCACTGTTGGTTCCAGGCTGAGATGCGTCCCTACCTGATGAGACCTGGGTCTGGGCTCCTCCCCAGAACTGGGGCCTGGCCTCTGCCCCCTCCAGGGCCTCACTGTTGTTTGGCCTGGGTACCCCCCTCCAGTGGGCCACCCTGCAACAGAGGGCATGTACTAGGGGCCCGAAGCAGGGTGACTGTGAATGCAGCAATGATGAGTACGTTCCCGGCTACCACCAAGACCAGTGTGGCCACTGTGCCCGCCAGGCCCAGGGTGGCTTCCTGTGTGGCCAGCCAGGCTCTGCGAGATCCCATATCAGCCAGCACTGCCTCCAGCTGGAAGTGGGTACCCAGCACTGCACAGATGTGGAATAGCTGGTGGCTGTGGCCTGTGGAGATGATGGGCAGGTCAGAGCCACACCTTTCCCAGGGCAGGTCACCCTGTCCACTGGGCCTGCTCCTCCCCTATAAATTCCCAGAGGGACTGACAGGAGTGAAAGGGCATTTGTGCGTGCGGCCCCCAGCACACAAGCTATTAGTTTGCTACCTGAGAAGTGGCAGGTGGAGGACCCTGAGGACTCTTCCAGTGATGCTCACTTGTTATGGGAAGACAGGGAAGTCCCTCTCCTGTAATTTGCCTCCATGCTGGGGTTGTGATACCCATTTACCCAGTTCATTCTGTGCCCTGGGAAGCCATCAGCCCCTGCCCTTTCCTGGGCTGGGCCAGGCATTGCTCTTACCAATGTAGTCAAAGCGTCCTGGTGCCAGCCTTTCGGGCAGGTGGGAGGCGAAGAGGAAGCCAGTAAGCAGTGCGCAGAAGAGGTGGTAGCCATGGCTGGTGCTCAGGGCCTCCTGCCCACAGCTGTGGCCCCTGCCCCAGCACAGCCCAAGCTGGCAGAGGAAAAGCAAGGCTGGTGGGGAGGGCTCCGGAGCAGAAATATGGGTGTGTGTCGGGGTCTGGTGAGGATGCAGCGCAGGTGGGCACAGCTGGGCGGGTGGCTGGGCCTGAAGAGAGGTGGCTGGGCTGAGGCAGGGACTGAGGGGGCAGGGCTGGAAATGGGCACCTTGAGGGTCAGGACAGGAAAGCAGGAGTCTGGGCAGGGGCCCCAGGCCTCCTTACCCGATAGAAGAGAGGTAGGTTGTCGAACAGGAAGGGATAGGTGAAGGCTGCTGTGCGGAGGACCTTACTGAGCCCAGGGCTTTCCAGCTCCAGGAAACTGGGAGGTGGGAGGAAAAGGCTGGTCACCATCCCTGTGCTCAGAGTAGGGGTCAGAGAAAGGCAAGGGCTCCTTGGGCCAAGTTGGAATATCAGCGCAGCCTGCGGCTAAGAAAACCCTTAGGGCACACGACTTGCGGTGTAAAGGACCACATCTGTCTGTGGGGATAAAGACACCTTTTATGGAGGCTTGAGATTTGAAGGAGACAGCATGGGTATGAGCATATAGGGTCTGACAGGAAGTCCTCAGTACAGGGTCCTGATGTCACCCATGCTGTTCAAGAGCAGTGTGGTATGTCCTCTCCTGTGCCTCCGCCTTCCCCGTCCCCACTGGAGGGGCCTGGGAACCCACCGGGAGTAGCAGGAGAGGCCGGTGCACAGGAAGGAGTTGAGTGCGGCGGAGGGTACAAAGAACTGGTGCAGGGGTCCGTGCAACCAGGAGGCCGGCATGGAGTAGGCGGCGTAGGGGAAGGCGCAGCCTGCGGTGAGGTGGGGGCGTGCAGCTGAGGCCCGAGGGGCGCGCCCCTCCCTCCAGCGTCCCAACCCTCGCCCCGCGCCGCCCCGCCCCGCCCCGCCCCGGGATGCCCAGACCCCGCGCTCCTGCGCCTGCCCGACTTACCCAGGCTGTAGAGGCTGAGCGCACCGTAGTCCAGGAAGTAGCAGATGTGGCGCGCGCGGGGCGACATGGAGCTGAAGGTGTGCGCGCAGCACGACGCGAAGGGGTAGAGGCAGGCGGGCAGCAGGAAGACCAGCAGCGGCCAGTGGTACGGCTCCGCGCGGAAGCCAGGGCCGCCCGCCAGCGCCAGGAGCCGCCACAGGAAGTACCTGCGGCGGGCGCGTGCTCAGGCCGCCGCGGACCCCCGCGACTGCTGCTGCAGCCCGTGGGTCTGGACAGTCCCTGCCCGCCTGGGTACCCCCTTTGAGCTGAAGGTCGCGGACTGGGGCAGAGCCTCCCCTCACCAAGTGGGCAGGAAGTGAGTCCAGATGTTGACCGTCTCGTTGGTCATCTGGAAGGAGCTGAGGACACAGTCCAAAGCCGAGCTGGTGGGGCGGCGGTAGCCAGACATGATGCCATCTTCCCAGAACACCTGGGGTAGTGGTGGGAAAGGAGAGGAGTCACTGTGCCCGGACCCTCTCCCTTCATTTGAGATCTCTGGAAGCAGGGTCAAAGCAGATGGGCTGGAGATCAACCTGGCCCCCAAGCCAAACTAAATCTGATCCGCTCTTACCACAGGTTCCAGTGCCCACAAATCAGATGGGAAACCGAAGAGGCCGATTGGGGCGGGGTGGGGTGGGGTGGGGGTACAGCACACCGACAGGGCGCTCTGGGGGAGGGGACTCAGGATGGAGGGCCACAGCTTGTTCCTCAGAGAACAGAGGAAGAGTCTCACATTGGAATGGGAGGGTAAGAGTTTGCCTGCAGGAGGGGCTGCCCCAGTAGCTAAAAGAGAAGCATCTCTGCCCCTAGTCAGTCCTCTAGGAGTGGGGGTTGGTGGGTCAGTGGGTGGAGCCCCTCACCCTGGGGACCTGGTGGACTCGAAGAAGTTGGGGCAGCTTGAGACTGAGCATGGTGGCCTGGCACCTCCACGTTGACCTGGAGACAGAGTCGGGGTAGGGGATCAGATATTTGCCCCCATCCACAGGCCCTTTCACCTGGGTTCAGCCCCAGGATGGGCTGCGTGTGTGGGAGGCACTTGGCACCCTCCCCTCCTGGAAATGCTTCCTTCAGCCCGGGGAGGCTGGTCTAGCTTCCCCAGCCGTCGCACCTCTTAACTCCATCCCCTGCCCCTGTGCTCCTTGGGGTATTCAGTCCCCACACTGAGGGGCTAGGCCTCAGCCCAGCATGGAGTGGTGGGTCCTCCCAGCTGGGAGGCTGCCTCAAATAGTGATCCAGCCCCCCAGGCCCCAGTTTTTATCTCGGGGAGAATCCTGATTTGAGGCCAGCACAGAGACAGCCCGAGTACTACACCCCACCCCACCAGAATGCACTTCAGCCCACAGCACCGGGCTGAGCAGAGATTCTAAGCTTGGCACTCAGAATCCCTGGAGAAGCCAGGGACTACACTTGGGCCTCGGCAGTGTTTTGGGGTCCCTGCCTCTTCTGAGCCCCCTATCCCTGAGCCCCAGACCTGTGCGCTGCCTCCGGGCGGCGTGGCTCTGCTGCCCCACCCGCCTCTCCTGGCACATTCCTTGGCACAAGTGGAGGGGCTGGGCCAGCTGGGCAGGCGGAGCTGCCCCAGAAGGAGGAATAGGACACTCCCCCAGGCCAAAACTTTGCAGCAACTCTATAGCCTGGCCCCTCCTCTTCCTGCCACCAGCTTTGCACATCCGTGTTTGTGTCGCATGCACTCTGGGGCTTACACCAGCAGTCACTCCCCCAGCCTCTGCCCCTGGGAAGGGTGCTGGGGACCCTACTGGGCAGGAGGCAAACTTGGCCCTAGTCCCTACACCCCAGCAGAACAAAGATGGATGAGGGCCTCCCAGGGTATCCCTTGTCTGCTCTCACAAGTGGGATGGGGGATGTCTCCCCTACCCAGAGTGCTGCCCATCTCTCTGGGGGAGTGAGAAATTCGCTGGGGTCTAGCTTCCCTCCCGGTGCCTTCCCTTAGCAGTAGGGTTTGGAGAGCTCCGGAGTGGGGTGTGTGCAGTTGCTATGGAAATGGGGGAGGGACTGCTGGAGCAAGGTGTTTTACCTCTATTTCCCCAGGAGAGGTGTGTCAGAGCCCCAGGTGAGCTTCCTTACCCAGAGCTTGGTGGGTGCTCCTAAGCTGATGGGTCAGCAGGCCCAGGGCTCCACGGGCGGAGTCCAAGGCTGCTGCCAGCCAGGCTGATGAAGGAGAGTGGCCAGGCAGGCGGGCCAGGCCTGGGCGGGGAGTGGGGAGACAAAGGGGAGCCAGGGAACAATCCCAGCCTTGTCCAGGCTCCAGGGAGCAGCACAGGGTGGCCCAGCCCCATTAGCAGGCAGCTCACTCTGCCGCCTGCACACAGCTAGCTCCTCCAGCACAACCTAAACTCCCTGTGCTCAGGCTGGCTAGAACAGGCTAGGGGACCAAGCCAGGACGTGGCCGTGGTGCTGTAGAGTCCACCCAGAGAGGTGTTCCCCTCTTCTTGGTTCTCCCAGCAGCTGAGGACAGCTTTGCCTTAGGCTGGCAGAGGAACCCAAATCCCCGAATTCTGACCAGATTTCAGAAGCCATCTCACCACGCTTTGCTGCCTCTTAGCATCTAGTGCGGGGTAAGGCTCAGAGCCAACTGCCTTTGGTAACTGTTGGTTCTCTCATGGCGGACTTGCCAAGCTTATCACCTCCCCACCTCCAACCTGAATACGATTTGAGGTGCCAATCCTTGCAGGACAGGCATTGACTCAGGCTGGTTTCAAGGCTCACCTCCCCAGGCCCTTGAGGAAGAGACAGTGGGGGGCAGGGGATCAAGATATCAGGTGTCATTCCTTCTCCTGGTGATAGCAAACCAACTGCAGGCTGCGCTATTTGCTGGCAAGAGATTTCCACCTATGGCCCTTGCAAAGGCACACCTCAGGGACAGGGTCTACAGAGAACCATCTCCAGGGCTCTCACTCAAATTGTCTGCTTCTTGTTCTGTTCCGTCCACTTCAAAGAAGTCTTTCCAAAGTGCATTTCAGGATGCCCTCTTCAATGTCCCACCTCCCAGTAAAACTTCCATACAGAGAGGCACCAGGAGACAGGGATTGGGCTTGGGGGTTTATTAAGTGATGCTTTAGTCTCAGTCTCTGCCAGCAACTGGGGTTGGGGTGACCCCACTCACCCCAGGATTTCCCAGACTTGCTGTTTTAGAGGAAAGAGGCAGGAAGCCAGCTATCCTCCAAGCCACAGCTTGGGAAGGCAGGCTAGTACTGGGGTGGGGGCAGCAGAGCTGAGACCCTCCAACCCCAGCCCCCAGCCTGTGCTATCCTCCCAGCCTGAGGGGGAGGAGCCGAGGCAATCCTGGCCACAGCCTCCCACACACGACCCTGCTCTTGGTGCGCCATTCACTGCCCTGAGCTATTCATGATCTCTGCTCCCACATATTCACCTCGACACTCCCAAAGCCAGCCCCTCACCCAGCCCCTCCAAGTCTTTAGTCCTGGGAGGGCAAAAGCGGGGACAGGGGACCCCTGACTGAGCAGTTTCAAGGGGCCTCTTCTTTCTGCTGCTCACTGAATGCCAGCCCCTTGTCTTCAGCCCTCCCTTAGATAGGAAGCGGGGTGGTGGCCTCGGACTGCACCCCCTTTCTTCTCTGTCATCTCATTCTGTCCTAGCACAGCAGCCAAGAGAACAAAGCACAGTGCCTGTAGAATTGGTAGGCACAGGAGCCCATGCTGGCACAGGCCAGACTGCCTGCAGCCCTAGGTGGAGCCTGCTCCCTGCCCTGGAAGCTAGGCAGAGGAAGACAGAAAGCAGAAGTGGGGCAATGGGATGTGCGGCCCCTGTGGCAGGAGGAGCACACGAACCCTGACCCTGCTCCTCGGTGCTGGCCACTCCAGGTCTCGCTTCTGTAAGAGCCCGTGGCTGGCTCCAGAGCTGCCCAGCCCCCATAAAGGGGGCTGAAAGGAGTATGGGTGGTCCTTAAGGAGGGGAAGGGTCTGCAGAGAACCACTCAGATACCAGCTATTACCCAGCTCTTTCCACAAGACCTGGAGGGTCCAAACTTCTGGCCCCAACCACCCTGTATCTTGGGTGAGGAAGAAGGGCCCTCTTCTGCTGTTCCTTCCCCTCAGAAATCCAAGAACCCACTCCAGTGAAATGCAGGTACCCGTGCCTGCCACCTGCCCCTGGGGACAGCAGGGGGCTGAGGCAAGAAGGCTGGCCAGGGGCCCACAGGACTCTCCTGCTCGAAGCACTTTCCTCGCTTTCCTAACGTCTTGGCAACAAAGGGACCCCACCCTCCCAGCTGGCTCCTGGGCCCTCCCTGCAGCCTCTGAGCAGCTAGGCCTCCCTCCTGTGTGCGTGCATGAGTCTGCGTGTGGTGGGGTGACTGCAGGTGCTAGTCCTGGCTGCCAGGGAGGGCAGGAGAGATCTGGAGTCAGCCCCACTGCAGGGCCTGGGGGTGAGTCTCAACCAATCTCCTTCCACTGCTTGTAGAAGTCCAGAACATTCTTGATGTCAACGCTGGCATGGGCAGCGGCCTGCAGGGCTGCCTGTGGAAGGGGAAGAGGAAAGATGGAGAGGGCCTGACCTCCTGAACTGAGGAGCAAGTCATTGGGGGGCTGGGGAGGGAGTGATGGGAGAGAAAAAGGCAGCTATGTGGAGGGTCTGGGGACAGAATCTACCTCATCCCTATTCCACGCCATCCCCCCACCCCACCCATGACCCACCTGCATGGGGCCTGAAAGCACGCTGGGGTTGTCCAGTGGAAGGCCTGTGATGATGGTCACCATGCCACTTGGGTCCTCCTCACCTGTTCCCTGGGCCACAGTCAGCTGTTTGCAGCTGTCCAGGATCTTATAGAGAGTCCTGGGGATGGGGACCAGAGGGGAAGATGGGTCATGACCCAGCATTAGCACAGCCCACCAGGGGACAGTGGCAGCTGGGGTCTGGGAGGGCAGCAAGCAGCAGTGGGCCCTGGAAGCTGGCCCTGAAGGAGACACTATGGGGAGCAGGCAAAGGTACACTGAAGGAAAATACCAGCCTGAGCATTGCAAGGCCCGAAGAGGCTGCCCCATCTACAAAGCTCAGATGCTGGGGCAACTTTGAACTCTCGAAAGGTGAGGCCTGCAGGAGGGCCCTGGCAGGCTACGTGTGGAGCCTCAGAATTCTCCAGCCCTGCCTGTTCTCCCTGGGAATGCTTGCGGAGGAGCAAGGCGGGTGGCCTGACTGAGGTTCTAGGGGTGAGTTGAAATGTTACCAGGCATCTGCATCCTGCCTCTTCAGCTTATGCCGCTCAAAGCTCTTTCCCACCTCTTTCTGGCAGCGAATGTACCTGCAAAGGAGACGTGCGAGTGGAAGTCAGGAGCAAAGGCCAGGCAGGGCCTTACACAAAGCAGGCCGTTGTGGCTCTGGGGGCCTAGTTCTGCAGGCGGGGCAGGAAACTCGTCTCCCCCCACACAGCTCTGTTAAAAACAGTTTCCAAGTGGCTTCCTGGCTGCTTTTCCTCCTGATAACAATTCTTTGGTTCCTCCCAGGGGAAGAGCTGAGAGGGGAGAATTAGCAGATGCTTTTCAAGTCAGGGCTTCTGGAGACAAGGTCCAAACAATCAGGCCTTGTACAGCTTCCTGGCCAGGCAGAGCAGATGCAGAGGAGGGGGTGGGCCAGCTAGCAGGGAGAGGGAAGCTTTCTCCTTATTCCCTACACCCTCTTGCCTAGTCCTCCTCTGGACCCCAAGACCAGAAGGGCAGGCCTGCACCGGGCTGAGCACCTGCACATGCTGCCACCTGTTCATCCCTGGCTGGCTTCAGTCTCACCACTGCCTCAGCTCAGTGGAGAGGTAGGCAGCCCAGATGAAGGCCCTCACGCTCTGAGAAACCTGATCACCTGTCCCACCCTAAAGCAGGAGAAACTCCTCCTGTAAAAGAGTTCACAGTCTAATGTTGGGGGAAGGAAGTCTGCTCCCTTCTCCCCAGTGGGTGCTGATCACAGGCTTGCCCCAGCGGAAGGACAGCAGCTCAGTGCTCCCCCCAGTGCTCCTGGCTCCTTTGGTCACCTGTCATTTCAGCACCTACGACCTTGACTTCTAATGATCTCTGGTATCACTTCCCAGGCAGTGAGCAAACTGTGAGTAGAGACAGGTGTGTGTGTGTGTCTTACCCATAGGGAGCAAGGGGCTTATAAGCATGTGTTGTCCAAAAGATGGACCCAGGGCTCAGCATAGGTCCGGCCAGGCTTGCACTCACCTGTTTCCTTTTTTAAACTCTGCCTCCAGGTACCGAATCCCATCCCGGGCCCCTGGGTTTTCCTTCTTCAGCAAATCCAGGCCATCAATCACTGGTGAGCAAGGTGAGGGTAGGGAAGGACAAAACAGATAAGCTCAGACTGCTGTGACAAGAGGCTCTGGAGGAACTATCTGAGCTCACCTCAGTACACCCTGCAGGCAGAGAAAGGACCCTGGCTCCCTAGAGGGCTCAAAAAGTTTTCTGAAGATGGTGACCTTCTGCCAGCAATATATTTGGAATTTACCAAGTACTTTCACATTGTATTCACTTCCATTTTCTGTTTCTCCCAAATATCTTGTGAGGCAGAATAGGGACTGTTATGTCCATTTCACCATGAAGTGACATGTTCACAAAGGTGGTAAGACTTGACCAAGGTCACTGTATAAATTGAGCCCCAAATAAGGGTCTCTTAATCCCAAGCCCAGAATCTCTTTTACCCACACTCTATCTGTCCCCTTACCTGTCCAATGTACTTACCCGTCCTTGGTATGATGACAATGAAGCGGCCACTGGTGGCCAGTTGGCGGATGACAGGGAGATGGTGGCAGAGGGCCTGGGTGTCAGGGACGAGGTAGGGAGACATAGCCGACTGGGCCCTGGGCTGCTGCAAGCTGCCCTCCAGCTGAGAGACCTCGAGCTGGTGAGAGAGGGCAGGGTGGGTACAGCTGCGGGGGACCCCTTCAGCCTGGGGTAGGGCAACAGTGGTCCTCAAGGTAGCTCTTATGGGGCTTCTCCTGTTGCTAAGGGGATCAGGGG